AGCATTAGAGACAGAGAGAAAGGTCTTCCTTCCGTTGGTTCACCCCCAAATGGCCGCTGCGGCTGGTGCGCTGTGCGATCCAAGCCAGGAGCCAGGTGCTTCTCCTGGTCTCCCATGGGGTGCAGGGCCCAAGCACCTGGGCCATCCTCCACGGCCCTCCCGGGCCACAGCAGAGAGCTGGCCTAGAAGAGGAGCCACCAGGACAGAATCTGGCGCCCCGACCGGGACTAGAACCCCGGGGTGCCGGCGCCGCAGGCGGAGGATTAGCCTAGTGAGCCGCGGGGCCGGCCGGTTCTTTTCTTGTGCTGTTTTTGTCTGGTTTGGTTTTGGTGAAATGGCCTCATAAAGGGAGTTGGGAAGTTCCTGCTGCTTCTCTTCTGGAAGGCGGCTTGTGGAGTGGATGTTGATTTGTTTTCAGTGCTCAGTGCAGTCCTCCAGTGGGGCCGGCTAGGCCTCGGGCTATTTTTCAGGAACTTTACAATTTCAAGCTCAATTTATTTATCAGTTGCAGGGTTACTCAGGTCTCCGTTTCATCTTGGCTGAGTGTTGGCAGTGGGCTGTTTGTGAAGAATTGTCCATTGTTTTCTAAATTACAGAATTGTGACCCAGACTTGTTTGTAGTATTTCCTTATCTTTTTTTTAATTGAGATAAATTTCATTTTATTGGGGCCTGTGCTGTGGCTAAAGTGTGTGTGTGTGCACGCGCGCACACACACACACACGCACACACACAGAAAAGCTAAAGCTGCCCCTGCAGTGCCGGCATCCCATATGATGCTGGTTTGAGTCCTGGCTGCTCCACTTCTGATCCAGCTCTCTGCTGTGGCCTGGGAAAGCAGGGGAAGATGGCCCAAGTCCTTGGGCCCCTGCACCCGCATGGGAGACCCAGAAGAAGCTCCTGGCTCCTGGCTTCGGATCGGTGCATCGCTGGCCGTTGCAGCCAATTGGAGAGTGAACCAGAGGATGGAAGACCGATCTCTCTCTCTCTCTCTCTCTCTCTCTCTCTCTCTCTCTTTCTTTCTGTTTCTGCCTCTTCTCTCTCTGTGTAACTGACTTTCACATAAATAAATCTTTAAAAAAATGCATTTTATGTACTTTCATTTTAACAGTGCGTCTATTTGTTTGAAAGGCAGAGTCACAGAGTGAGGGGAAAGAGCTCTTCTGTCTGCTGGTTCACTCCCCAAACGGCTGCAGTGGCAGGGCCAGCCCAGGCCGGAGCTTCATCTGGGTCTCCCATGTGGGTGTGGAGCCCAAGCACCTGGGCCGTCTTCTGCTGCTTTCCAGGAGGATTACCAGGGAGCTGGGTTGGATGTGGAGCAGTTGGAACACGAGCCAGTGCCCATGTGGGATGTTGGTGTCTCAGGCAGTGGCCTAAATTGCACCATAGTGCTGGCCGCCAAAATTCACCATTTATGTGTATTTTTAAGGCTGGCTTATTTATTTTAAAGGCAGAGTTACGGAGAGAGCAGGTAGAGGAAGAGTGAGAGATAGATATCTTCTGTCTGCTGATTTACTGCCCATGTGACCACAATGCCAGGGCTGCGCCAGGCTGAAGCCAGGAGCCTCTGGGTCTCCCACGCCGGTGCAGGAGCCCAAGCACGTGGGCCATCTGCTGCTGTTTCACAGGCACGTTAGCAGGGAGCTGGGTCAGGAGTACAGCAGCTGGGACTCAGACTAGCCCCCATACGGATGCTGATTTCACAGACAGCGGCTTAACCAGCTGCGCTACAATGCTGGCCAGCGAAATGCATCCATTTTAGTGTGTTCACTTCAGTGGGTTTCTGTTTGCTTTAGTATATTCAGTTTTGCAGCCATCACCACTACCTAATTCCAGAGCATTTTCTTTCTTTCTTTTAAGGATTGATTTTATTTATTTGAAAGTCAGAGTTACACAGAGAGAGGAGAGGCAGAGAGAGAGAGAGAGAGAGAGAGGGGTCTTTCATCCATTTGTTCACTCCCCAGATGGCCACAGAGAGAGAGAGAGAGAGAGAGAGGTCTTCCATCCGTTGGTTCACTCCCCAGATGGCCAGAGAGAGAGAGAGAGAGAGGTCTTCCATCCGTTGGTTCACTCCCCAGATGGCCGCAAGGGCCAGAGCTGCTCCAATCCGAAACCAGGAGCCAGGAGCTTCTTCTGGGTCTCCCATGCGGGTGCAGGGGCCCAAGGACTTGGGTCATCCTCTACTGCTTTCCCAGGCCACAGCAGAGAGCTGGACTGGAAGAGGAGCAGCCGGGACTGGAACCGGCGTCCATATGTGATGCCGGTGCTTCAGGCCAGGGCGCCACAGCGGCGGCCCCCAGAGCGTTCTCATTACCCTGGGAAGAAAAGCCTGCAGCCAATAAGCAGTCTCTCCATTCCCCTTCTTTCCAGCCACTGATGGGTTCTGTGTGTGCGCATTCTGAGCCCTTCAAGTGGGTGGTGATAGAGCCCTTCCTGTGGGTGGTGTGGAGCCCTCGTGTGGGTGGTGTGGAGCCCTCGTGTGGGTGGTGTGGGGCCCTCGTGTGGGTGGTGTGGAGCCCTCCTGTGGGTGGTGTGGAGCCCTTCCTGTGGGTGGTGTGGAGCCCTCGTGTGGGTGGTGTGGAGCCCTCGTGTGGGTGGTGTGGGGCCCTCGTGTGGGTGGTGTGGGGCCCTCGTGTGGGTGGCGTGGAGCCCCCGTGTGGGTGGCGTGGAGCCCTCGTGTGGGTGGCGTGGAGCCCTCCTGTGGGTGGTGTGGAGCCTCCTGTGGGTGGTGTGGAGCCCTCGTGTGGGTGGTGTGGAGCCCTCGTGTGGGTGGTGTGGGGCCCTCGTGTGGGTGGTGTGGGGCCCTCGTGTGGGTGGCGTGGAGCCCCCGTGTGGGTGGCGTGGAGCCCTCGTGTGGGTGGCGTGGAGCCCTCCTGTGGGTGGTGTGGAGCCTCCTGTGGGTGGTGTGGGGCCCTCGTGTGGGTGGTGTGGAGCCCTCCTGTGGGTGGTGTGGAGCCCTTCCTGTGGGTGGTGTGGGGCCCTCGTGTGGGTGGTGTGGAGCCCTCGTGTGGGTGGTGTGGGGCCCTCGTGTGGGTGGTGTGGAGCCCTCGTGTGGGTGGTGTTAGAGCCCTCGTGTGGTGGTGTGGAGCCCTCGTGTGGGTGGTGTGGGGCCCTCGTATGGGTGGTGTGGGGCCCTCGTGTGGGGGGTGTGGAGCCCTCGTGTGGGTGGTGTGGAGCCCTCGTGTGGGTGGTGTTAGAGCCCTCGTGTGGTGGTGTGGAGCCCTCGTGTGGGTGGTGTGGGGCCCTCGTGTGGGTGGTGTGGGGCCCTCGTGTGGGTGGTGTGGGGCCCTCGTGTGGGTGGTGTTAGAGCCCTTGTGTGGGTGGTGTGGAGCCCTCGTGTGGGTGGTGTGGGGCCCTCGTGTGGGTGGTGTGGGGCCCTCGTGTGGGTGGTGTGGGGCCCTCGTGTGGGTGGTGTGGAGCCCTCGTGTGGGTGGTGTGGGGCCCTCGTGTGGGTGGTGTGGGGCCCTCGTGTGGGTGGTGTGGAGCCCTCGTGTGGGTGAGTGGAGCCCTCGTGTGGGTGGTGTGGGGCCCTCGTTGGGTGGTGTTGCAGGATGGTGACTGGCGCGGGTTCGGTGTGCGAGGCTCGCTGGGTTGCACGCAGGTCAGTATTTGCTCCTTGGCTCTGGTGGCAGCAGTGCAGCTCTGCTTCCGCGTCTCATCGTGTGCTCACCTTCCCGAATGTGGATAGACCCCGTGATCCCATGGGCTCCCCCAGACAATCGGGGGGATCCCCAGCTCTAGATCTTTAGTAACACGTGCAGACTCAGGGTTGCCCTGTGCAGTAGCATACGCAGAGGCTGTGGGCATTGAGACCGTGTCGACCTTGGCGGTGGCATTCTGCCTGTCACGTGGCTTCGCCCGCGCAGCAGGCCCAGGGAGCTCATCCTCTGTCCCCACCCTGCTGTGGAGTCCGTGCGTGGATGTTCTGTTTTGGCCGCTGTGTGTTTCAGCGTGTGACTTCTCTTCGACGCTTTAAAAGCTGACATCTGTTCCTTTCCAGGATCTTATGTGTATATACTTTGGTTTTAAGAGAGTTCGTAGTTGTTTGTAGAAGTGTTATTATGACGGTTGCTTTAAACTTCTTGTCAGATAATCCCAGAATTTTAATCACCTCGGTGTTAGCATCAGTCTTTATCTCTTCATTCACGTGTGTTTCCTGGTTGTTGGCATGCATGGCGTTGTTTGAGTGTACCCGGACACGTAGGGTATTATATTAGGACCCTTGACCCTGTTCCATCTGTTTCGGTAGAGCTGCCTGTCTAGGCTCCGTGTGACTGCTGTCCTGCCTTGCTGGGCTGTGACTCCTGGGTGATCTAGCGTGCCCATCCTTCGCAATGCTGCCGATTCTCGTCTGCTTGATTTTTCTGGCACTGCTGGAAATCCTGTGGCTCCCTGGGCTCCCTGGCGGGTCTGGCGCCTCAGCTCAGTGTTGTCACAGGTGTGGGATGGGGACCTGCCTGCCGTTCCGGGTGGTGGGTGCAGATCTGCGGCTGCTGGCGCTGTGGTGGAGTGGCCCTGCCACTGTCCTGGGTGCTGAGTCCTTTGGCCAGAGAGCAGGATTTTCTTGGCTGCCCGCCTGCCTGCCTACTGTCCTTCCCTGTTGGTGGTCCGAGGCTGCAGGCTTCTCTGGCCTGGGGCATATGGGAGCTCGCCGGCAGCGCCTGCTAGGCTGCCTCCTTCCGCCCTGCAGGCCTCGTGGCTGTCTGTTACGTGGTTGGGTTTGAGGGGACAGTCAGGGAACGTGAGCCTCTGCCAGCCCCCTCCAGACCTGGGGCCCTCGCGGTTTGCGTTTTCCCCTACTGGGTTTACTGGCAGTACGTGGGGCGTGACTGCTGCTCTTGCTGTATTGGTCCTGGACCGTCACGTGGCGCGTTCCTTCACGGCTGCTGTTCACCGTGGGAACAGGATAGGGGTTGTTCTTGTTTCAACCGAATGGAAATGAGGAATGTCACGTTTTTACTTGCTCATGCATTCATTTACTCGTTCATGTATTTATTTTTAGGGAGTGGAGCAACTGCAGTGGTCCAGGCAGCTCACTGTACCCCTAAAAAGGAGAAAGTGGCAATCAAACGGATCAACCTTGAGAAATGCCAGACGAGCATGGATGAGCTGCTGGTACGCACATCTCGTGTGTCCTGCGTGGGGAGGTCGACTCCTGTGTGTGCACGTCGCGGAGGGAAACAACCTGAAGCTTTTGGTTCATTTTTTCTAATGGTTCATAATTTCTTCACTAACCAATAGTGTTTATCATAAAATTTATAAAGTATAGCTAAGTAGAAAATCAGTCTAATCCTCTCCGGAGAGTACCATCTGCTGTCTAAGCTTCCGTTTAACTGCTTGTTCTCTTACGGCATTTCGATGACGCAGGAGCTCTGTCTGTCTGTCTGCACTGGGTGTGGTCTTCTGTTGAATGGGCAGGCCACAGCTTGCCTCTTCTGGCACTGGATGATAGCTCATTGTCTCTTTTTATTATTTTTTTAAAGACTTATCTATTTGAAAGGCAGAGTTACACAGAGCGCGAGGGAGAGGTAGACAGGTCCTCCGTCTACTCACTCACTCCCCACGTGGCCACAATGGCCAGAGCTGGGCCAATCTGAAGCCAGGAGCCAGGAACAACTTCCGGGTCTCCCATGTGGGTGCAAAAGCCCAGGTGCTTGGGCCATGTTCTGCTGTTTTCCCAGGCACAGTACCGGGGAGCTGAATTGGAAGTGGAGCAGCTGGGACACAAACTGGCACTCATGGGACGCTGGCACTGCAGGTGGTGGCTTAACCCATTATGCCATAGTGCTGGCCCCTCTTTTTATTGTTATAAACAATACTGGCTTACTTCTCTGTTTCCTTAAAATAATATAATGGAATTGTGATTCCTAGGTCATATGGAATACCCTTTAAAAGTTTGTGGCTCAGGCCAGCGCCGCGGCTCAATAGGCTAATCCTCCACCTAGCGGCACTGGCACACCGGGTTCTAGTCCCGGTCGGGGCACCGGATTCTTTCCTGCTTGCCCCTCTTCCAGGCCAGCTCTCTGCTGTGGCCCGGGAGTGCAGTGGAGGATGGCCCACGTGCTTGGGCCCTGCACCCCATGGGAGACCAGGAGAAGCACCTGGCTCCTGCCTTTGGATCAGTGCGGTGCGCCGGCTGCAGCGTGCCAGCCGTGGCTGCCATTGGAGGGTGAACCAATGGCAAAAGGAAGACCTTTCTCTCTGTCTCTCTCACTATCCACTCTGCCTGTCAAAAAAACAAACAAAAAAGTCTGTGGCTCAGGACTGGCACTGTGGCACAGTGAGTAAAGCCATCACCTACAGTGCCGGCATCCTATATGGCTGCCGGTTCAATTTCTGGCTGCTCTACTTCTGATCCAGCTCTCTGCTGTGGCCTGGGAAAGCAGTGGAAGATGACCCTAGTGTTTGGGCCCCTGTACCTGTGTGGGAGACCCGGAAGAGGCTTCTCCCACACAGAGAGAGCCACACAAGAGGCTCCTGGCTTCAGATCGGCGCAGCTCCGGCTGTTGTGGCCATCTTGGGAATAAGTCAGTGGATGGAAGACCTACTTCTCTCTCTCTCTCTCTGTCTCTGTCTCTGTCTCTCTCTCTCTGCCTCTGCTTCTACCTCTCTGTAACCCTGCCTTTCAAATAAATAGATCTTAAAAAAAAGAAAACTGTGGCTCTCAGGAGACGTGGTGTGGGTTCACATTCTGACCACTGGTGCAGGAGATGCGAGGTGGAGTGGCCCTACGCAGTAGCAGTGCTGAAGGCCGAGGGAGGGAGGAACGCCGTGTCCCAGGGTCAGTAGCTGTCAGAGGTCTGTGCCGTTCAAGTGTAGTCGGTCGCACAGTGCTGCTGTCGTGTCCTGGCACACAGAGTTTAGTAGGGACAGTAAGGCTCAGCACGGAGGTCAGGTGGCTCTAAAAATCATTGAATGTTGTCAATCCTGTGGGGTTAGGATGGAAAGAATACGTGCTTTGAGAATCTTTGAGGTTTTTTCCTGAAGCCCAGTTGATGCAGTATTTGAGAATTAGAAGCTGCCCACAAATGTGAGCTGGTGTTGTGATTTAAGTACTTTCTCTAAGAGCACATAGAGTTAGTAATAGCCAAGGAGTGACCGTCCTGTCCAGGACTTTCTCCTCTGTCCCAACTGGGATTTAGTTTCTGGTGTGCCTGGCCTGGGTATCAGGGAGTAATTGGAATGAAAGAAAACACGGTGTGGGGTGGCTCGTTTGTATTGAACCTGTGGCAGCTCAGGCACGTGGGTTTCTTCCAGAAGGAGCAGTTACTGGAGTGGTCTTGAGCCATCTCTGGGAAGGAGGTGCTGGCTGAAGTCCTGCTGGAAAGTCTGGGATTTACTGTTGCCGGCAACACAGTGCGACCCCATTTGGACATTTGAACTGCGGCATTGGTAAAACAAGCCTATAAACTACAAACTGGGGGTTGGTGCTGTGGGTAAAGCTGCCTCCTGCAGTGCCAGCAACCCATATGGGCACTGGTTCAAGTCTTGACTTTTCTACTTCCAATCCAGCTCTCTGCTGTGGCCTGGGAAAGCAGTGGAAGATGGCCCAAGTCCTTGGGCTCCTGTACCCATGTGGGAGATCGGAAAAAGCTCCTGGCTCCTGGCTTTGGATTGGTGTAGCTCTGGCCGTTGCAGTCATTTGGGGAGTGAACCAGCAGATGGAAGACCTTTCTCTCTGTCTCCCCCTCTCACTGTCTGTGACTACCTCTCAAATAAACAAAATCTTTAAGAAAACAAAGAAACAAACAAAGAAACTTGCACTCACATGAGATGCCAGCATTGCAGGCAGGGGCTTAGCCCACTAGGCCACAGGGTTGGCCCCAATTTGATATCTTATTAGAAGAAGAAAATTGGTTAGATAACGGTTTGTCTTTGCCCACATTGCAGTAGGCTTTATCTAGCGTGTATATACTTGGCAAGTAGGGAAAGGGAGAAAGAAAGGGGCTTCCGTAAAGGCAGCGTAAGATAATCGGCTGCTTTTCGGTGGCGTGGAGGAAGCTGTAGCGCTGTCAGTGAGAGACCCATGGTGTCCGGCCTGCACCAGTGCGGGACGAGAGCTGAGTGCAGTGGGCTCTGTTTCATACTGGCAGGTTTGAAACCCTTCGGTTTACCTTAAAAAAAAAAAAATGTGTGAGGTTGAGGTACTAGACTTCTGATGTGGTGTTACAAATGGTTTTCCAAAGCTGTCTTTATTGTAGCACAGAAAGGGTGAGGCTCTGCAAGGAATGCAGGTTGTGACTTATGGCAGACAGGAAGGAGGGGTGGATAAGTATTGCTTCTCCCTCCTGTGAAGTGCTTCCGGGATGCCTGGCGACCTTTGCTTCGCGTGGGGGATGATCAGCTGCCACATATATTTTTTTTTTTTAAAGATTTATTTTATTTATTTGAAGGGCGGAATTACAGAGAGGGAGAAGGACACAGAAAGAGAAAGAGATATTCCATCCACTGGTTCAGTCCCCAAATGACCACAATGGCTAAGGCCGGACCAGGCCACGGCAAGGAGCCAGGAGCCTCTTCCAGGTCTCCCATGCAGGTGCAGCTGTCCAGGCACTTGGGCCATCTGCTGCTGCTTTCACAGGTACATCAGCAGGGAGCTAGATCCACACTGGAGCATCCAGGACTCGAACCGGCACCCATATGGGATGCCAGACCTGCAGACAGGGGCTTTAACCCACTGCGCCACACCGCCTGTCCCTGGATGCCACATCTTAACATGTTCATTATCTCCACAGAGGTTTTGCTCATAGACTTTTCTCTAAGAAGTCAGACCATGCAGGATTCTAGGTTTTTCTCTTCCCTAGTAGGTGGTCGGATTAGATTCATTGGACGAATGTGTGAGGGGACATAAAGACGGCTGAAGTACTGTTCCTTCTATCCAGAGTCATGGTCATGATCTCGTTACACAGGGAGGCTCTGCCTGTGTGTGACCAACGTCTCGGGAGAGGTAGGCAGTCACGTGTGAGTAAGGAGAGGACGAGAGCTGCAGATTCGAAGACGGAGGGCCCTGTGGAGACGTCTGTGGCCGGGCACCAGGCGGGGCCGACGAACAAGCAGATGAAGACCCTGCTGGGCAGCGCTTAGAGTCAGGGAAGAACAGGAGAGAAGCAGGAGGCCTTGACGGGAGGAGACGGTGGTGTTTGGTAGAGGATGTTAGCTAGGGACTACGTGGGCAGGCCTTTGAAGGATTCTTTTTTTCTTTTTAAAGAATTCTTTGTTTATTTAAAAGGCAGGAAGGGGAGAGGGAGAGGGAGAGGAGGGCAGTGGAATCTTCCATCTGCTGGTTCACTCCCCAAATGGCTGCAGTGGCCAGGGCTGGGCCAGGCCAAAGCCAGGAGCCAGGAGCTTCTTCTGGGTCTTCCATGTGGGTTCAGGGGCCCACTTGGGCCATCTTCTACTGTTTTCTCAGGTCATAGCAGAGAGCTAGGTAAGAAGTGGAGCAGCTGGGACTCGAACTGTGCTCATATAGGGTGCTGGCACAGCAGGCGGCAGCTTTAGCCTCTACACCACAGTGCTGCCCTCCCCCCCAACAGTGTCCCCCGCCATGTTTTAAGATTTATTTATTTGGGGGCCAGTGCTGTGGCGCAGTGGGTTAAAGCCCTGGCCTGAAGTGCTGGCATCCCATATGGGTGCCGGTTCTAGTCCTGGCTGCTCCTCTTCTGGTCCAGCTCTCTGCTGTGGCCCGGGAGGGCAGTGGAGGATGGCCCAAGTCCTTGGGCCCCTGCACCCGCATGGGAGACCTAGAAGAAGCTCCTGGCTCCTGGCTTCAGATCGGCGCAGCTCTGGCTGTTGTGGCCATCTGGGGAGTGAACCAGCGGATGGAAGATCCCCCCCGCCCCCGTGTAACTCTTTCAAATAAATTAAGTAAACCTTAAAAAAAAAAAAAAGATTTATTTATTTGAAAGGCCAAATGAGAGAGAGAGAGAGAGGGAGTGGATTGAGATTTTTCATTTGCTTGTCCACTCCCCAAATGGCCGAAACAATCAGGGCTGGGTCCCTCTGACGCCAGGAGCCAGGAGCTCCGTCTGCGCCTCCCGCGTGGGTGCAGGGCCGAGCACTTGGCCGTCTGCCCTGCTTTCCCGGCCCTTAGCAGGGAGCTGGGTCAGAAGGGGAGCAGCCGGGACTGGGACCTCTGCTCCGGGCGGGAGTGCCGTTGGCGCAGTGGGGCCGCGTGCCTCCTGCAGGGAAGTTCTTCAACGGACAAAGCCCTTTGTGACCTGGTGCCTGGCAGTTAAGCGGTCAGAAACCTTGGAAACCCGTTTGTCAGGGTCAGTACAAGAAAACGTCGAGCCCTAGTTACAGCTGCTGCCTGTGGTCGCTGTGACCCAGTGCCGAGTACTTCCCTGTCCAGGCTGCTCACTGCCCGCGCTGTAGTCCACCTTCCCAGACCGCGAGTGTCATGAGGTCCACGCCGTGTCGCATACCAGCAGGTTGACTCGTTGTGGCTTTTTTTTTTTTTTTTTAGAGAGTTATTTATTTGTTTGAAAGTCAGAGTTACACAGAGAGAGAAGGAGAAGCAGAGAGAGAGGAAGGGAGGGAGGAAGGGAGAGAGAGAGGTCTTCCATGCACTGGTTCACTCCCCAATTGGCCGCAACAGCCAGAGCTGATCCGAAGCCGGGAGCCAGGAGCTTCTTCCCGGTCTCCCACGCGGGTGCAAGGGCCCAAGGACTTGGGCCGTCTTCTACTGCTTTCCCAGGCCACAGCAGAGAGCTGGATCGGACGTGGAGCAGCCAGAACTAGAACTGGCACCTATATGGGATGCTGGCACTGCAGGCAGCGGCTTTACCTGCTATGCAACAGCACCAGCCCCTGCTCATTTGTGTGTGTGTGTGTGTGTGTGTGTTTAAGATTTTTATTTATTTGAAAGTCAGAGTTATACAGAGAGAAGGAGAGGCAGAGAGAGAGAGGTCTTCCATCCGCTGGTTCACTCCCCACTTGGCCACTATGACCAGGGCTGCACCAATCTGAAGCAAGGAGCCAGGAGCTTCTTCTGGGTCTCCCACACAGGTGCAGGAGCCCAAGGACTTGGGCCATCTTTACTGCTTTCCCAGGCCATAGCAGAGAGCTGGATCAGAAGTGGAGCAGCTGGGACTCAAACTGGTGCCCATATGAGATGCCGGCACTGCAGGTGGCGGCTTTACCCGCTATGCCACAGTGCCTGCCCCTCATTGTGTCTTACATGCGCCTTATGAGCTTCATCTTTTTAAAGAATCATATATGGCTCTCATTCTGTTCTGCTGTAATTTTCCTGCATCCTGTAGAGCTAAACTTGGTTCCCAAGTCCTCTGTGAAGACTCGTTTGCTCACACCTGCCTCCCTTGGCTGTCCTGTCCTGTGGACTCCTGTAGCGTTTGCCATCTTTACAAGTCGCCGCCACGTGGGGCTGCCCTGCGCTCCTCTGGCGTGAGCGAGTGCCTCCTGTGCCCTTCACGTCCTGTGCAGCGTTATCGGCAGGCAGGAGCTTGCGTTAGTTCCGTCTCCTTTCACGTTCACCCCGTTTTAGTGCAGAAGAGTGCTGGTGACTTAGGGGGTCGCGAAATACACACAAGGCCCTAGCCACAGGGAGTCCACGGAGAGCACTTCTATCCGGAGTTAGGAGTGACTCCCACACAGTTGACCTTGCTGAACAGAGCCGAGGGCATGGGGCAAGTCCACGTGAGCGGGAAGCTGTATGAAGAGCGGTAGGAGTCCATTTGTTTGGCAGATACTTAATAAAAGTACATGTGTGCCGTGCACAGTGGTGAGTGCGTGGCGTTGTCTTAGTTCTCATGGAGCGTACAGCTTTGTGGGGGATGCAGAAAGCAAATAGCAAGTATACTATAGTGTGGTACGTTGCACAGCGGTTGGGAATCCAGGAGAGACAGATAGGCGCACAGTGGACTCTACGTGATGTGCTGGGCTGGAGGAGACGCACAGGGTGCTTGGAAGCTGGGAGCTGGGAGCAGCTGGCAGCTAAGCTGAGATCAGAGGGAGGCGGTGGAGCTGGACGGTGAGGACGATGGGGCAGTGGGACAGTAGGGAGATGTGTCCGGGGCAGAGGGCGCACAGCACCCTGGACGTTTGCTGGGGCCTGGAGACGGTGTCAAGGAGACGAGAGTCCGATCACACCGACTTTGTGGCTGTTTTGTTGTACCAGGCCTGGTTCAAATGCATCATCTGTGATAGCTCAATCCTGCACTTTCAGCTTTGGATTTTACTCTGGATTTAATTTATAATCCTGTCTTCTTTCCTTATTTTCTTTCCTTATTTTGTCGTTAGTGTAAGAATTGTTAATCATTTTACAAAAATGGGATGAAGTATTATTTTTCTTCCTCCCCCACGAGCAAACCGCATGCAACAGAAGCATCTTGTGTGTGTTAGGGATTGCCTCTGTGGCTACAACAGCAGGTTTCCCAGGGGCTCCTAGGGTGAAGCTGTGTGTCCAGTGGAGGCCTCCGGGGGCGCTGTGTCACGGTGTCTGCTGCATCCTTCAAGGACTGCGGGTGCAGTGGGCGGGAGAGGGGTCCTGGTGGGCTGTTCTGGAAGAGATCAAGGGCAGGCCTTCCTGGAGCGGTTGTGACAGGTCTCCGGAGTCCCAGCCTGAGCTTGCTGACGTGCGTTGTGTTGTTTCAAGCTTGCCTATAGTGGGTGATCGTGTTTTATCTCTTCCTTTTTAGAAAGAAATCCAGGCTATGAGTCAGTGCCATCATCCCAATATCGTGTCTTACTACACATCGTTTGTGGTCAAAGACGAGCTGTGGCTGGTCATGAAGCTGCTGAGTGGAGGTGAGTAGCCCCGGCAGAGTGACGTGTTTTCCCACCTGGTGAGAGGTGGGGCTGTCCCGAGACTGAGAACAGAGGGCCTGCTGAAGACGTCAGTGCGTGGGCTGACAGGTTCCCTACGCTGTGTCTGCCTGACGTGCCCCTGAAATCTCCCTAAGTCAGGAAGGCTCCCTCTCCTTCCTCTGTGATGTGACCTCAGTGAGGACCTGGTCCCGCTGCCTCGCAGGGCATTCCACGTTCTGCATTAGCTGAGAGTTCCTTCCTCGTGGTTTAGTCTGCTTGGACTTCTGTGTCTGCACCTTGAGTGTCAGCTCTAGAGGCGTGGTGGAACTTGGGCAGTAGTTTGGGGCCGAATACTTCACAGGTGGTGCTGTGCTCTTCATAGTCCATCAGGTCGGGAAGTGTTCGCTTGCGTCTTCAGTAGCACGGCTCGTTTTGTTTGCCTAAGATGGTGGCAGCCAGGCTCTCCCTGTGAGAAGTCGGCTTCCGCTTTTGTAGGTAGCAGAAAGAAGCCTGTAATACTCTGGCTCTGTGGGTGCCACACTCCCCATAAGTCTTCTGTTTGAATTGGCTATTTCATTATTTCATCGGGGGTGTGGAAAGGTGGTTTTCCTTACTGCATTGTTTCTTGTGTACTTCTTTTTTTTTTTTTTTTTTAAAGATTTATTTATTTGAAAGAGTTACACAGAGAGAGGAGAGGCAGAGGGAGAGAGAGAGGTCTTCCATCTTATGGTTCACTCCCCAGTTGGCCACAACTGCCTGAGCTGCACCAATCCAAAGCCAGGAGCTTTTTCCGGGTCTCCTGCGCGGGTGCAGAGGCCCAAGCACCTGGGCCATTTTCTGCTTTCCCAGGCCATAGCAGAGAGCTGGATCGGAAGAGGAGCAGCCGGGACTAGAACCGGCGCCCATATGGATGCCGGCGCTTTAGGCCAGGGCATTAACCCGCTGCGCCACAGCGCCAACCCCCTCTTGTGTACTTCTAACCTGGCATCCTCTGTGAAGAGGAGCTTTGTCTTATCTACTGGGGCTCTTTGATTAATTGGTGCAGTAGTTCCTGCAGAAAAGGAGGGATAAAAAAATGGATTCTTGGGGCTGGCATTGTGGGATAGAGGGTAAAGCCACTGCCTGCGACACTGGCAATGAATGTGGGTGTCAGTTCATGTCCTGGCTGCTCCACTTCTGATCCAGCTCCCTGTTAATGGACTGGAAAAGCAGCAGAAGATGGTCCAAGTCCTTGGGCTCCTGTCACCAATGTAGGAAACCTGGATGAAGCTCCTGGCTCCTAGCGTCAGCCTGGCCAAGCCCTGGCCCATGCAGCTGTCTGGGGAGTGAACCACTGGATGGAAGATCGATATCTCTCTGTCTCTCCCTCTCTCTCCGTAACGCTTTCAAATAAATAAATAAATAAATCTTTTTTAAAGAAAGTATTCTTTTTTTAATAACTGATTTTCTTATGAAAAGTTGATAGAATAGTCACCTCCATTGGTAGCAGATGAGAGGTTTTTAATTTTTCCAGTTGGTCAGGATCTTCACTGTTTTGAGTATCATTATAGACTCTAGCATTTTTAAAAAATTTTTAAATTATTTTTAAAGATTTACGTATTTACTTATTTATTTATTTGAAAGGCAGAGTTACAGAGACGCTGAGACAGAGAGAGAGGTCTTCCATCCACTGGTTCACTCCCCAGATGGCCAAAACAGCTAGAGCTGTGCCAATCCAAAGCCAGGAGCCAGGAGCTTCCTCCGGGTCTCCCATGTGGGTGCAGGGGCCCAAAGGTTTGGGCTATCTTCCACTGCTTTCCCAGGCCACAGCAGAGAGCTGGATGGGAAGTGCAGCAGCCAGGATTCGAACCAGCACCCATATGGGATGCAGGCACTGCAGGTGGCAGTTTTACCTGCTATGGCATAGCGCTGCTCCCTGGTTCATTTTTCGAAGCTCTCGGCAGCCAGGGCTGCGCCAGGCCGAAGCCTGGAGCTCAGTCGGGGTCTCCCACGTGGGTGACAGGGACTTAAATGCTTCAGCCACCTGCTGCCGGCCATGATGTGCCTCAGCAGGAGCTGGTCGGAGTCGGAAGAGCTGGGGCTCGGTCCGGGCGCTCTGGTGGGCGAGGCAGGCGTCCTCGATGGTGACTTAGCCACTGTGCTGCACACACAGCCTCGCTTCTCTCTGGTGTTTGAGTTTGCAGGCTTCTCAGCGGGAGTTGTCTCTTGCTTACTCTTTTTGATATGAGCCAGTAGGTTTTTGATTGTGTCTCGCTTTTTGGTTCAAGATTTTCTAGGTCCACATAATCCTTTTCCCGGACCTGGAATCACCAGAATCGTAGGAGCTGAGAGAGCTGTTACTGGGGAATGGTATTCAGAGAGTATAATTACAGTGCTTGGGGTATGCATTGCTACCATGGAGTAACTGCCTCTAGCTGGGACATACTCTGTTGAAAATGAGTCATAATTTCGTGTTAATATTTCCAATTCAACTTTAATATTATAGACTTTTTAAGCTTCTTCTGATCTTATGCTTGAATCTCTTTTCCTAGTTTTACCGTTATTACAAGCTTTGTACTGTAAAATGTATGCATTTACTTCTACTTTATCCTTGAGTAGATTTAAATACAGGCGGAGTGTCCCGTATCTGGTGCTTTGGGCTAGGAGTGATCCGGATGGCAGAGCTGTTCGGGTTTTGGAGTACTCACGTGGACTTTACTTACTGAGCAGTCCTGGTCAGAATCTGAAATCCGAGAGCGAGACCCAAAGCTTCTAAATGTCACGTTGGTGCTGGGAAGCGTTCTGGATCGCGGAGCAGGTGAGGGGTGCTCAGCCGGTATTGCCGGTGCAAGGAGCGTGCAGACGGACGCGTGGATTGGACACGCGGTTATGGTGCCTGAAGCTCATGCTGTGTGGTCACTTTGTCAGTGTACCAAGGCCTGGGTTTGAATCACAGGGCGAGACTGGGGACCCTGTCACTCCACTCCTTTCATTGTTTGCGTATGTATTCTCTGTAGAGTCACAGGAAAGAGAATCCATGTTTGCTTGGTTTGCAGTTTTCATACTGCTTGTCCCTGGAACCTTGCTTCTCAGAGACTGTGAAAGAAACAATGTGCGCCTTGTATTAAAATCCAGCTTTCCTGTTTCAGTTTTGTTTTATGGGAGAACTGTGTCAACCTTTGTCCTTTTTACTTGTCTGTGGTATCTTTCTGCCTTCGGGGTGCTGAGGAGGAGTGAATGACGTGACATACGTGGAGAGCATCCATCGCTGGCTGACATGTGACAGACGCACGGAGATCTTAGGCACTGTCATCATAACCCCTTGCTGTGTGATGCTCTTCCGTGTAGCCAGAGTCACCGTTTTGTTTCAGTCCCATCAGGGACGCGCTGGAGAAACTGGGTTGCTTTGTAAAGGCCCTGTGCGTGTGATGGTTGGACGTTGCTAACACCAGCCACTTTCAGGATGGTGGTCAAGTGTGGGTCTTTCAGTGTGGACAGATTCGGGAGCATTAGGCAATTCTGTGTCTTTCCTTATTGATCACCGAGAGCTTAATTTTGTTTTTAATTCACAAAGATGCATGGTGTAAGGTTTTCAGGGTGGGGAAATGAGAATACGTTGTTGGCTGTGTTCTGTGTTAGCCCGTCCTTTCTTCTGCTGCTCCTAAGCAGAATCCCCCCCACCCCGCTCACCCTGAACCCAGAAGAGCAGGACGTGCGGCCTGGGGGGGGGAGGGGTCCTGCAGATGCAGCTCTTGGCCTCACTGTCTGGGGCAGTGCTCAGTTTTTCTAGCCTAGCACTCAGTGAATTTCCTGGAGGGCAATTTCGAACGTGTTGTAGTCATAATTCTTATAGAATTATATTTTAGGAGTTAACATAATCATTACATATAAGCCTTTTAGATGTTAAAATTTTTTCACTCTTTAGGAAAATGAAATCTCGTGGTTTTTTTTTTTTTTTTTTTTTTTTTTTTTTTTTTTTTTTTAAGATTTATTTATTTGAGAGGCAGAATTAGAGAGGGAGAGGCAGAGAGAACGGTCTTCCTCCTCTGGTTCACTCCCCAAATGGCCGCAATGACTGGAGCTGGATGGATCCGAAGCCAGGAGCCAGGAGCTTCTTCCTGGTCTCCCATGCGGGTGCAGGGCCCCAAGCACACAGGTGGTCCTCTGCTGCTTTCCCAGGCCGTTAGCATAGAGCCGGGTCAGAAGTGGAGCAGCCGGGACCCAAAGTGGCACCCAGGTGGGATGTCACAGCACCAGTCCCCAAATCTTGATTTTTGTTGCTATGAAGTGAATAAACATTTAAATTGAAGAATTTAAGTAATATTTAGAAAACAAAAGGTAGAAGTGATCAGCTTACACATTTTTGTTTTGAAATAGGAAGAAACTGTCAGAATTTATAGTACAGTTAAAATGCCAGTCAAGTATGTACTCACTTAACATCAGCACGTTAGTGAGTGGAACTGTCGGCTCCTTCGCTCGTGGCCTTATGACTAATAAAGAAAAGTTGTAATTAAGTGGAAGTGTGGAGTGCCGTGAGAGCCAGTCCTTGGGGACCCTGAACCTCTCGAGAGAGGGAGATGTACCATTAACCAAGGCCCCTCCCTTCTGGAGGTGCCAGCCGGCTGAGACGTAAGACTGAGCTGACAGCCAGCCGGGTGAAGTGGGAGTGGAAGGATGGGAGAGTGATCCAGCTGGGGGGACTGGTGGCAGAGGAAGGTGTGTCATGTGGGCCAGAACCGAGGGAGGTTTGTGGCGGGAGCAGAGAAGCAGAAAAAGACCTTTGGAGGAGGCTCACGGGAAAGCAGAGACTCCCTTTGAGTAACTTTGAAATGTCAATGACCAGAGGTAACAGAAATGCATGTAGGATGCATTCTTTTTTTTTTTTTTAAGATTTATTTATTTATTTGAAAGTGAGAGTTACTGAGAGGGGTGGGTAGGTCTTCCATCTGCTGGTTCACTCCCCAGATGGCCGCAATGACTGGAGCTGGGCTGATCCGAAGCCAGGAGCCAGGAGCTTCTTCCAGGTCTCCCATGTGGGTGCAGGGGCCCAAGGACTTGGGCCATCTTCTTCTGCTTTCCCAGGCCACAGCAGAGAGCTGGATCGGAAGTGGAGCAGCCGGGACTTGAACTGGTGCCCTTATGGGATGCTGGTGTCGCAGAAGGAGCCTTTACCTATTATGCCATGGTGCCTCCCCGGTAACTGTCACTCTTAAACCTGTCAACCACAGAGATAGCAGAGTTAAGTCAGTTTAAGTATGTATAATTTCACAGGACTTTCTTATGACTGACATGTCCTTTTTTTAAAGGTCTATTTACGTATTGCAATGCAGTTACGGACAGAGAAGGGAAAGACTGCTTGCAGGTCTCCCCCGTGGCAGCGGGGACTCAAGCACTTGGGCCGTGCTCTTCAGCTTCCCCAGGTGCATTAGCAGGGAGCTGGGTCAGAAGTGGAGCAGGGGCTGGCGCCTTGGCCCAGCGGGTTAACGCCCTGGCCTGCAGTGCCGGCATCCCTTATAGGCGCTGATTCGAGACCCGGCCACTCCACTTCTGATCCAGCTCTCTGCTGTGGGAAAGCAGTAGAAGATGGTCAAGTCCTTGGGCCCCTGCACCCACATGGGAGACTGGGAAGAAGCTCCTGGCTTTGGATTGGCGAAGCTCCGGCTGTTGCGGCCAATTGAGGAGTGAACCAGCAGATGGAAGATCGATCTCTCTCTCTCTCTCTCTCTCTCTCTCTCTGCCTCTCCTCTCTGTGTAACTCTGACTTTCAAATACATTATTTGAGACCCAGCAGCCGGGTCTCACACCGGCGCCCACATGGGATGCTGGCATCACAGGCAGACGCTTTGCCCGCTGTGCCGCAGTGCAGGCCCCTGAAACCTTCTTTAACTAATTAAAACCCAGATGTTGAATGTTGGGATTTATCAGTACAGGAAGTTAATCTTCAGAAGTGAGAAATGCTTTTGGTCTAAAGAGCTATTTCTACAATTTGGTAGCACCAGACTATGGTGTACAGTATTTAGAACTACAACTCATTAGGCAAACTTCTGAGAGGAAAAGAGAAGCGCTGTGGCACTGAAAGGGGTAGCGTGTAGACACAGACCTCCAGCTTCAGTCCGCTGCCTCAGACAGCGGGGGTGCCTTGGCCTTGTCTCTGCTGAGTGACAAAAGCAGGCCCGGTGAATTACCAGATGTCGTGACCAGTGTGCTTCTCAAACACCAGCAACCCTTCAGGGCTTGTAGACTTCCGCTGCTGCTGTTCTCAGCTGGGAGCTCCGAGCCAGGGCCGGCCAAACCATCAGCGGCTCAGGAGGCTAGAGCTGGGTGAAAGCTGCTTAGACACAGCGTGACTGCTGGGACGCGATGATTCTGTGTTCAACGAAAGCTGAGGAAGTTAGCATGCTGGCCGTGCAGCCGGTGGCGTTAGAACTGCCGGCTTTAGTGCGTGTCTCGAGCCAGCTCCGCCAGAATTCTTGGTACTCAGGAGTGGTTTTCTTGGACAGAGTTTTGCGTTGCTTGTAAGTGTTGTGTGTCACAGACTAGGAAGGCACACGGGCAATCATTTTGAGGAATAGAGGGATCTACATTTTAGCTTTTTGCTTTGTTAGAAAATTTGTACCAAATACCCTTGTTTCCCATTCACTGTTTGACTTGCTTTTATTCTGAGATGTGTGGACTTTTTTTTTTTTTTTTAAGATTTCTTTATCTATTTGAAAGTTATAATTACATAGAGAAAGGGAGAGACAGAGACAGAGATATTCCATCTGCTGGTTCACTCCCCAGATGGCTGCAACAGCCGGGGCTGGGCCAGCCTGAAGCCAGGAGCTTCTTCTAGGTTTCCCAACGTGGATGGCAGGGGCCCAAATTCTTGGGCCATCTTCCTCTGCTTTCCCCAGGCCATTAGCAGGGAGCTGGATCAGAAGTGAAGCAGCTCGGCCGGCGCCGCGGCTCACTAGGCTAATCCTCCGCCTTGCGGCGCTGGCACACCGGGTTCTAGTCCAGGTCGGGGCGCCGGATTCTGTCCCGGTTGCCCCTCTTCCAGGCCAGCTCTCTGCTGTGGCCAGGGAGTGCAGTGGAGGATGGCCCAAGTGCTTGGGCCCTGCACCCCATGGGAGACCAGGAAAAGCACCTGGCTCCTGGCTCCTACCATCGGATCAGCGCGGTGCGCTGCCACAGCGCGCTGGCCGCGGCGGCCATTGGAGGGTGAACCAACGGCAAAGGAAGACCTTTCTCTCTGTCTCTTTCTCTCACTGTCCACTCTGCCTGTCAAAAAAAAAAAAAAAAAAAAAAGAAGAAGAAGAAGTGGAGCAGCTGGGACATGAACCAGCGTCTTTATGGGGTGCTGGTGTTGCAGGCAGCGGCTTAATCTACTACACCACAGTGCCGGTCCCATGTACACTGCTTTCAGTTCTCTGTTGACCACTGGATGATGTAAAATCCATGAAGATTGTCTAAATTTTTGAAAAGGAGCTCTGATTTCAAGCTTTAAAAGTGTAGAGCCAATATGAGATCTTTTTGCTCTGTTGGTCTGCTGTGCCAGCCTGGAAGTTCCCTGAAAGTCAGCCATACTGCACAGCTTGTCATTCTCGTGGCACCCAGTGCTGGGACTTACTAGATGGATGAATTGCGTTAATTTTAAATTCCCAGCAGGAGTTTCTCCCTTTAGATACATTTTTTAAAAGTAATTTTATTTTTTATTTGTCAGCGTGAATAGTTTGTAACCATTACTTTTTTTTTTTTCTTTATTTGACAGGTAGAGTTACAGACAGTCAGAGAGACAGAGAGAGAGAAAGGTCTTCCTCCTGTTGGTGCACTCCAAATGGCTGCTACTGCCTGCGCACTGCGCTGATCCGATGGCAGGAGCCAGGTGCTTCTCCTGGTCTCCCATGGGGTGCAGGGCCCAAGCACTTGGGCCATCCTCCACTGCACTCCCTGGCCACAGCAGAGAGCTGGCCTGGAAGAGGAGTAACTGGGACTAGAACCTGGCACCCATATGGGATGCTGGTGCCTCAGGCGGAGGATTAACCAAGTGAGCCACGGCACCGGCCCCTACATACATTTTTTAAAAAGTATTTATTTTATTTGGAAGAGCTACAGAGAAGGGGAGACAGAGACGGAGGTGGAGACGGGGAGAGAGAGAGAGAGTGTGAGTCTTCCATCTGCTGGTTCACTCCCTAAATGGCCATAACGGCCAAGGGTAGGCAGGCTCAAACCAGGAGTCAGGAACTTCTTCTGAGTCTCCCATGTGGGTGCAGGGGCCATCTTCCTCTGCTTTCCCAGGCACATTAGTAGGGAGCTGGATCAGACATGGAGCAGCCGGGTCTCTAACTGGCACCCAGATGGGATGTCAGCGTCCCACCTGCAGCTAACCCGCTGTGCCACAGCGCTGGCCATCCTCTACTGGCGCTCCCTGGCCACAGCAGAGAGCTGACCTGGAAGAGGGGCAACCAGGACAGAATCCGGCACCCCGACCGGGACTAGAACCTGGGGTGCTGGCGCCGCAGGCGGAGGATTAGCCTAGTGAGCTGTGGTGCCAGCCCTAGTCTTTGCTTTTATCATCAGTGTTGGTATCTGCGTCCTGTGATATTAGTCACTGTGCAGATGTCCCCAGCCCCTCCCCCTTCTGTGGGAGGAGCAGGAATGGACCTCATAGGTAGACCTGGGCTGTTACTTCAAGAGAACTGCCATTTATCCTCTTCATACCCGTCTTTCGCCTCACCGATTCTGGTTTTACAGTTGATCAGAATAATTTTAGCCCTTGAGTTAGCTTATCGTGTACGATCTTTACTTCTCGAGTGTTTCTTCTCCGGGTGTGATGCTGTGCCCTGCGTTCCTGCACGGTAGGGGCCGGCGCTGGCTTGTGGAATCTGACCTGGAGTGTTACTGGTGAGTGTGCCCTAACTAGGTGTTCTCTGGGAGCGTGTGCCCTAACTAGGTGTTCTCTGGGAGCGTGTGCCCTAACTAGGTGTTCTCTGGGAGCGTGTGCCCTAACTAGGTGTTCTCTGGGAGCGTGTGCCCTAACTAGGTGTTCTCTGGGAGCGTGTGCCCTAACTAGGTGTTCTCTGGGAGCGTGTGCCCTAACTAGGTGTTCTCTGGGAGCGTGTGCCCTAACTAGGTGTTCTCTGGGAGTGGTACGAATCCACCCCTTCTGAAGTCTTGCTAGAGGTCGTGCTGGTGTAACATGTTATTTGGATATTAGCGAGCTCCTTGCTGTTCCAGATTAGAACTGAGAATAGCTCACTAGTTTTAAACTGCTGTATTTTCTCCTGTTTGCTGTTTTCCCCTTTATTTTCTACACAGTTCGTTTGTGAAGTGGTCCACATACGTTTTGCTTGCAGGTGGATCTGAATTAACGTGGACTGCGTTCCTGTGTCTTGTGTTTGCAGGTTCTGTTCTGGATATCATCAAGCATATTGTGGCAAAGGGCGAGCACAAGAGTGGTGTCCTGGACGAGGCCCACCATTGCTACAATACTCCGAGAGGTCCTGGAAGGGCTGGAGTATCTGCACAAGAATGGACAGATCCATCGGTACGTGGTGGGTGTGCTAGGCCGCCTCAGCAGACGCTCCCTCTCTGCGCGGCAGCAGTCCCGTGGCCTGAGCGTTTTTTGTGGCTGTTTGTACCGCCAATCTCAGTGCACTGTGTCCAGAGTGTTAGTTGTGCAGCTAGTAAGTAGTGGACATGTTTCTGTAATTCGTAAACGTGGTGATTGGGGTTTTGTGCTGTTGTGTGTTGTGCCTCCCTCAGACGTTAACGATATCAGCACATTACCCGTTTTGAAAAAAAGAAAAAATAACAAGTGAGTTAGTAAAATCGGAAAATCCATAAACAGAAAAAATTCATAGTTTCTTATTATATGTTATTTTTTTAAAAGATTTATTTATTTGAAAGAGTTACAGAGAGAGAGAGAGGTCTTCCATCTGCCAGTTCACTCCCTAAATGGCCACAGTGGCTTGAGCTGAGCTGATCTGAAGCCAGGAGCTTCTTCCAGGTCTCTCACACGGTGCAGGGCCCAAGGACCTGGGCCATCTTCCACTGCTTTCCCACTCTATAGCAAAGAGCTGAATCGGAAGAGGAGCAGCTGGGACTTGAACCGGTGCCCAAAGAATGCCAAGGCTTTAACCTGCTTCGCCACAGCACTGGCCCCAAATTCATAGTTTCTTATCATGAGGTCATCACTGATAACGTTTTGGAATATTTCTTTCTGTTTTCTTTCATGTACTTGATATTTAAAACAATGCTATATATGTGATTTTCTCTGTTGCTTTTTTTTTTTTTTTAAGATTTATTTATTTATTTGAAAGGCAGAGCTACATAGAGGCAGAGGCAGAGAGGCAGAGAGAGAGAGAGAGAGAGAGAGAGAGAGAGAGAGAGAGAGAGGTCTTCCATCTGCTGGTTCACTCCCCAAATGGCCATAATGGCCAGAGCTAGGCAGATCTGAAGCTTGGAGCCAGGAGCCTTTCCTGGGTCTCTCCTGCAGGTGCAGGGGCCCAAACACTTGGGACATCTTCCCCTGCCCTCCCAGACCACAGCAGAGAGCCGGACCGGAAGTGGAGCAGCCGGGCCTCAAACTGGCACCCACGTGGGACACTGGCACCCCTGGCGGCTTCACCTGCCAAGCCACAGTGCCAGGCCCCGCTTTACTTATTTTACATTGTATCTTCAGTAGTTTGCTAGATTACTGAAAGCTCTTTGGGAGTTGGCATTGTGGTACAGTGGGTTAAAGCCCTGGCCTGCAGCACCAGCATCCCATATGGGTGCCGGTTCGAGTCCTGGCTCCTCCACTTCAGATTCAGCTCCCTGCTCGTGTACCTGGGAAGGCAGTGGATTATGGCACAGGTGCTTGGGCCCCTGCACCCACATGGGAGACCAGGAGGAAGCACCTGGCTCCTAGTTTCAGATCTCAGCTCTACGCATTGCAGCCATTCACGGAGTGGACCAGCAGATGGAAGACCTCTTTCTCCCTGTCGCTACCTCTCTCTGTAACTCTGCCTTTCAAATAAATAAATCTTAAAAAAAAAACAAAAGCTCTTTGTAAAATAGCATTTGTTAAAGCTCTTTTTTTGTTTTAAATAAATACTGTAGCATTTTTAAAAAACAGATATATTTATTTATTTGAAAGTCAGAGAGAGAGAGAGGGAGAGACAGAGAGGTCTTCAGTCCACTGGCTGACTTCCCAGATTGCCACCACAGCCAGGGCTGGGCCAGGAAGGCGGCAGGGGCCCATCACGTGGGCCATTTTATGCTGCTTTTGCCCGGCTCTTGCCGGGGAGCTGGATGAACAGCCAGGACTCCAGCCGTGCCCAGATGGGATGCCAGCATGGCAGACGGTGGTTTTACCTGCTGCACCACAGTGACGGCCCCTAGTGTAGCACTGTAAGAGCTTTTTAACATTTTGTAGTTCAGGTCTTTCTGGCTGTCTTTATTCAGTGCAGATGGCAAGAATTCAGGTAGTAATGGGTTCTGTGTTATCCAAAAGTATTTAGCACCTAGACTTGGTTTATTTGGGAATATTTTTTGCTTTCATTTCTAAATTTTTACTAGATATAAAAATTCACTGTTGAAAGTGTATTTTTTAAAGATTTATTTTATTTGAAAGGCAGAGTTAGGATGAGACAGTTTATTCCCCAAATGACTATGGCCGGGGCAGGGCCAAGCTGAAGCCAGGAGCCTGGACCTCCATCCGGGTCTCTCACGTGTGTGCAGGGGCCCAAGCACTTGGACCATCCTCTGCTGCTTTCCCAGGCACATTAGCAGTGAGCTGGATAGGAAATGGAGCAGCTGGGATTCTCCATATAGGATGCCGGAATGCAGGTGGTGCCTTTACTTGTTATGCCACAGCACTGGCCCCAATTTTTCTTTTTCTTTTTAAAAAAGATGTACTTATTTATTTGAAAGACAGTTACTGAGAAAGAGAGAGAGAGATCTTCTCTTCGCTCTTTTTACTCCCCAAATGGCTGCAACGGCCAGGGCTGGGCCAGGCCAAAGCCAGGCGCCTGGAACTCCATCCGGATTTCCATGTGGGTGGCAGGGGCGGCAAGCACTTGGGCCATCTGTCATCCACTGCTTTCCCAGGCACGTTAACAGGGAGCTGGATCGGAAGTGGAGCAGCCAGGACTAGAACCGGTGCTCATATGGGATGCTGGCGCTGCAGCTGCTTAACCCACTGTGCCACAGTGCTGCCCCTCCTCTTATTTTTTTTATAGATTTATTTATTTCTTTGAAAAGCAGAGTGATAGAGGAGGGGGAGGCGGGGAGAAATGTCTCTTCCATCCACTGGTTCATTCCCCAGGTGGCTGCAACAACCAGGGCTGGCCCAGGCCCAAGCCAGAGCCTGGAACTCCATCCAGCTCCTCCACGTGGGTGGTGGGGGCCCTGATGCTTGCTGTCTCCCGTTTTCCCGGGTGCGTTGTTGGGGAGCTGGGTGTGAAGTGGAGCAGCGAGGGGGCTTGAACTGGACTGATACGGGAGGCCAGCCAGGTGGTTCCAACGCTGGGTGCATCCTGTATTGGTGTCAGTTAATTCACTGTAGCTTGTATGTCTTGAATATTGTGTTAGTAGACTATACCCTGTTTAAGTTTTGTGTGTGGGTTCTGGCGTACCTCTGTGGGCTATGCTTCCAACTGCAATTTGGGTTTTGGAGTCCTGGCTGTATTGTTTGTATTTTTGCATGGTACTGCTGGGACTGCCGTCCGGTTCCTGCGGATGCCACCTGTGAGAGTGGAGTGTACTTCTGTGGGCCTGATGCTGCTGAGAGCGGGTGGGAGGTGGGTCCGTAAGTGCTCCCCAGGGGTCTGAGAGAGGCCAGCTGTGCTCCTGGTGTGGCCGCGTGGATCTGCCTGCTGCACTGAGCGGGGGCAGAGGATGAAGTTCCCCAGTCTGCTCTCATCGCCGCCACTGTTCTGGGTTGGGGCCCACCTGCGTCTCCAAGTGTGGAGTTGGGAGCGGTGCCCCCTGCTGGCACTCTGCACGTCTGCCAGAGAGCTGGCTTAGTGTTGCTTTTTTTGAGCAAATTCTTGCTTTTGAGTTTGAAGTTGGTTTCCTTGGGGACTCCCTGTGTCTGGGTGGCTTGGTAGTCAGCCAGGGCGCGGCAGAGGTGGTGACCACACAGCGGGAGCCTGCAAGGCTCTGTGTGCATCAGTGGATCTGTCTGTGGGTGTAGACGTGCGTGTTTTCAGGCTCTGCTCCCGTCTCGCTTGTGGCTTTCTGTGTTTGCTGTGCCCATTCTGCATCCTCCGGTGCTGGGGTGGAAACTGCACGCCCTCCTGTGCTGGCCGTGTGTCTGCGTCTGGACTGCAGCCACAGTCTCGCAGAGCCGCTGCCGGCCCTCCTGCGGCCGCCCTTGAGAGTCACGGCCGCTGACCGTCGCTGGGCTCAGCTGCTGCCCACCAGTCTCATCTCGTGGGCCCCTGCTGCCTGGCAGAAAAGCCGCCAGCCACACTGGTCTCTGCACCTAGCGGAGCCTGCGCGCACCCTGGGCGGGCTGAGCTGGCACAGAGGCTGCTGCTCTTAGCTGGTGGGCAGCAGCGGTTCGGGCACGACGTCCGCAGGTTGGTTTCCAGGTCACTGCAGTGGCAGATTCATCGGGCGTGTCCAGCTTCTACGTTGCTTTTAAGGGGGGGCAGATCTGCCTCACTCAGCTGTAGCTGAGAGAGAGAGAGAGAGAGGGAGGTCTTCCATCCCCTGATTCACTCCCCATATGGCTGCAATGGCCAGACTGGACCAACACAAAGCCAGGAGCCAGGAGGTTTCTCTGGGTCTCCCAGAAGTGGAGCAGCCGGGATTCAAACTGGTGCCCATATGGGATGCAGGTGGTGCGGTGGCTTCACCCGCTACGCCATAGCCCTGCCCCTACATTTTGTATTATTAAATTCCAAATAAGAACTCAGCTTACATATCGCTGTTACTAATTTCACTTGCAGGTGAAGATGATGTGCCCTTAGGTTAAGATTCGCGTGGGCTCACAGAATGGTTGTGAAGAGATTGTGATGGCTTGTGCAGCTGGCTCTGAGGCCGTTGGAGTGGGGGTTTCAAAGGTGGTTTTTGCAATGACATCGACTCAAGCTAATGCTTTCTGAGTGGCAGCCCCTCGGGTAACTTTGAAAGGAATGACACTCATTTAGCTAAATGGTCTATTTTATAGAGCTAGTGTGAGCAGCCGTACAAAGCGTCTGAACTTTTTTGTGCCTGAATTTTGCAGGAATCACTGAACTCCTCGTGCTCCTTGTTTGTGTGACCCGGGTGTCTGACAGCTGTCGTTTCCTCTGTGTCTTTTAACACTTCTTGCAGCAGGTGTACTGACTACAGAGTTCCTTAATTTGTTGTCTGAAAAAGTCTTCATTTCAAAGATGTATTTGTTTATTTATTTGAAAGTCATAGTTAGAGCGAGCGAGTGAGCTGCTTCCCTCCCCAGATGGCCACAGTAGTTGGGGCTGGCCAGGCCAGAGCCAGGGGTCTGGACCTTCATCCAGGTCTCCCAGTACTTGGGCCGTCATCTGCTGTTTTCCCAGGCATACTAGCAGGGAACTG